AGCAGGGTTGTCAGAAAGTTTTGAAGTAGATAGCTGAGTTGTCAAAGTTAGTTGCCAGTCCAGGGTGTGTGGGCAGTTTTGGAATTGACTGGTACATTACAACATTTCAGGTAAGTATAAAAACTAACCTACATATCTTCAAATTCTGGTCTTGTGTTGTCCAAAAATCACCAAACATAAGATGCTTCTTTGTCTTTGAAAGGATTGCTTGATGCAGTCTTTTTAGGGTTTGTTGTGTGAGACAATTGAACTTAGCCTTGACCCAAAAATGTGGAACTCATATTGAAAAAGTACCTTTCAGTATCAATAATGCTTTTTGTACATGTATGCTAAAGGGCACACAAAATTACTGTTATATGTTTACGCATGTATGCAGATTAAAATGGAGGTTTAAAAAGTTGCACTTCAATGCCAAGAATCATGGGTCGACGAGCTAAGGATAAACAGCTTGTGGCTCAAGCTTCTCGCAGAAGAACCGTTCTTCAGATAGACAGGGTTTCCAGACGAGAAACCGGGGAAGGTATGTGACATGCTGTGCATCTGCTGTATTTGTATGTTCATGTATGTCATGTTAATGGTTGTTCTTCACAGGCTAGGTAAAAGGGCAGAAAAACAGGTATAGTTGACAGTTTTGTTCCTTGTCAGCCATGGTTAAGATGACTGACTGGCATCAAAACTGTCAACTATAATAATGAACTGTTTTGGCTAATTTATTTACAACGCAGTGTTCTTACCAGGATTTGCTACACTTGGACTCATAAGCTATCATGAGGGAGAAAAGTGGGTCACAATTTTTAGATGCAGTTTAAAACTCAACTGATTGGGTGTTTTCTTAAGATGCCATAACCAATTATAAGGAAATGTACGTTTGTTACCTATGTTTTGTAATAGGTTTTTTTCCTTCTTTGCACCCTTGTGACCCCTTGGGCTAATGTAGTGCAGCAGTTTCCCAAAAAGTGCAGCAATGCTGCAATTAATGCCACTGTCTGGTCAGAACACTGAAAACTCAAACTAAAATTATTTGATACAATTAAAGCCAAATGAGTTTCTTGAAGAGTTGCTGTTGAATCCATTTCCACATACTGTAGTTACAATGTACATTTTTCTTAAGCTATGTGCCTTGATCAAAGTGGTTACTTAAACAACAATTATTTTCCAGGTCCTGCTCCTAGTGGAATAAGAAGAGCAATCAATTCTAATAGCATCACAGGTACAGAGATGGAATGTAGTTGTACCCTCTTTCATTGTACTGATGAGTAGTCCCCATTTATTAATTTTAACTTCTTCAGGGATGTAGCTTAAATTTATAACAGACGGAAAATGGCATTTGATGGGTGGGTAATATGAGAGGAAAACAGTTGCCTTTTTAAAGACTGCAATTTTTATCAGCTGGAAAAAATATGTTGAGAGCCTGGTATTTTCCCCTGCTCCCAGCTATTATCTACATGCCTGTTCTTGCTAGTCAAAACCGGGCCATTTAGTAGTTTTTTCTGGTTGCCTGGATTGTTGGATACAACTTTATGATATTATTCCAAGCAACCACACTTAACTCATAACCATTTCGTTGACAACTGAAAGTTGATTAATGCGCTGATGTAAAGTTATTATAATAATATCCAAATAAAAATAGTCTCACTGAAGACTAGAGTATTTTTAAACAATATCTTCAACATAATTTATTATTATAACAAAGCACAGTCATGTATTGTTCCATAGTATTTTATATTGGATGTTGTTTATCTTTAGGTATTGGTTTACTTGGTTCATATGGTGATCACAGTGATGATGAAGGTAAAAAAGCATAATAAAGATAAATTCCAGTAAAATAATTTTCAGAAAACAGCTGACATTTCATGATGCCACGACTAGCTTCCCCTCAAAATGACATTTAGGGAATGTCTGCAGAAATTCCATACTGATGACACATGCATGACTACCCAGATCTGGGTAGTGCTTCTAATTGGTTGAAGCAAATTCCCACATGTCACAACTAATACGAAGTACAAAAAATATTCACGCAAGGGAGAATTAAATGAAAAAAAATTCATGCATGCCAATTAATCCTAAAAAATATTTATGCTATGGCCTAAAAAAAAATTCATACAAGGACTTTGATAACGAAAAAAAATTCCTGCGGCTCGAAAATTCCCCTCCCCCACATAACTTTTCTAATAGACTGTCCCTTAAGTTCCCTATTAATAAACTCAAGGTTGTACTGTTGGAAAAAAATTTAGGGAGACCAATCACTCTGAATGGAAGTAGTATACTGGTACAGGTAAGAGTATTGACTAGCTAGAAACCTTTAATATAATTATTTTTATTTAATAATAGTTATGAACAGTTGTTGCTGGAAGAGATGGGAAAAACATGAAAACTCCCTGCAAAAATTGGTGGAAAAAGTTTCCCTTCTCTTTGTACTTGCAGAAGATGAAGAGCACTCTGGAGTTACAGAAGGTCAGAATGGTGCTAGAAATGCGGAGGAAGAACCAGCAGCCGTCGTCAGTGCTTCATCATCAGCAGGAGCACATTCAGAAATTGATGCCAAACTAGCTGACTTCTTTAATGTAAGTAACTGATATCTGAAGATGTTTTGTAAATCAAATCAAAATTACTGTAAAAGCACCTTATAAGGTGAAAACTTTGTTCTAAATTGGGGGTGCACTATAATCAATGATAGTTTCAACTTTTATGACCTTTTTGCACTCAGCAGTCATCAGCTATCATCAAGTAACATTAACTATCATCAACTAACATGCACCTTGAACATGTTTAAATTTTTCATGATTGTCGATAATAGTTTTCCCTTTTTTGGCACCCTGAGTAGGATGCTGTGAATTTTGTTGCTCTGTGCATGATGGAGAAATTAATGTTGCAAGTGAAGAATTTTGACAGATTAAGTAAGTTATTTCATAACCACAGTGCACATTCTCTTGGGACATGGCTCCTTTAAGCTCCGTCATGTCTTCTGTCAGCTCTGAGGTCTCGTCTGACCTTGGACCTCACTATTATGGCTTGTTTTCTCAAAGCTACAGGTTTTGAATTTACTGGGTTACACGCATTTATCACAGTTGCTGCAATGAATTTCTTTGCCACAGGAAATTGCATCAATGGATGCAGACACTACAAGTGCAGGAACTGATGTCACTGTCAACAGACAATCAGAAGAGGCAGTGAGCTCCACTACAGAAGGTGATCATCCAGCTTCAGAGGCATATGAAGAAGGTGGCTCAGGTTTACGCAAAAACACGAATATGAAATTGACGTAAACAAACTATCGACAATCAGTAACCAAGCAATGGGGAAGAAAGTAAATGAATGCTTGAGATCAAAATTTTTTAGAAAAATTCAGAGAAAGTCAAATATCAGAGATAGAGAGATGTCTTTCGGATATAATCCAGCGGTAGAGGATCCACACAATAAACAACTACCGAGAAAATGCTATAAATTCTTACCTGTCCGAACCAGGAATGCACCAGCCGCCATTACACTGAAAACACTAGAGGTTAATTGAATACCATATATGACGTATCTAATTGAATGCCTTTGCCGCTGACTAAGTCATGAGCCCGCCTTTTCGTTTTCATTTCAAAGTCCGCCATGTTGTGGAGCTGGTATGCATATCATGACAAGGTGATATTTGGGTTCTTATAGATTATTACCAAGTGAAAGGTAAGTTGGCCCAACATGACTTCTCTATATCAACTTCAATCTGCTGCTGTGTAGTGTGGTACAAGTAGATTAATAGGGGACCATCGGCATCTGTGTT